TCACGAATCACGGCAATTAATTTTTGAGTTTCACGGTTCACGGGAAATAACATGATTGACGAGAGCGTCTTTCACAAATAAGCCTCCACATTGAGTGTTTTTACTCTATAAGGCCCACGGATCACTGCTAACGTTTCATTCGGAAGTTATTGTCTGGGGTGTTTCCATTTCACAGGTTCAAGTTCTCCGTGCAAGGAACTGACATTGGGTAACGTTTCAGTTATTTTGGTGGGAGCCACGGTGGCCTAATGGTTAGTGCGCTGGGCTCCGGGTCGGGCGGTCCGGGTTCGAGCCTCGGCCGGGGCGCCGCGTTGTGTTCTTAGGGAAGACACTTTACTCTCACAGTGCCTCTCTCCACCCAGGTGTATAAATGGGTACCAGCGAAATGTTGGGGGGTAAACCTGCGATGGACTGGCATCCCATCCAGGGGGGAGTAGAAATACTTCCAGTCGCTTCATGCTATAGAAACCGGGATAAGCTCCGGCCTGATGGGTCATTCTAAAGAGTAATGTTCTTCGGTCAGTGGGATTGTGAATCGTTCCTTCCCTCCGAGGAAACCAAGCGATCCAGGGGATTTGGGATCGATGAAGTAAACGACACCTTCAATTTCGCATATGGTTTTAAAACTTTTGTCACTCTCCATAACTTTGATACTAATGCCACTGACTTCAAGCGTGAGCTTGACCATACTGATTGCGTGATCTTACATACACACGCGACAAAGAATGATGGTCAATGATGTCGTTGTCTTTTCTTGTTATCTAGCTCCGTGAGTCGGCTTCTGTCAAGTCTCAAATTGCCTGTTAATTGCTTTTCTATCTTCTGTCGCGTCTGTCACGTATCAAACACGCAATGTGCGCCGCATCCAAAAGAGTCTTTTATACAGACTCTTTTACACGGCAAGTTGATTTTCACGTAAAAAAATTGCTCAATTCTAGTCAAGTTTCACGGTTTACGAAAAATTAAGTTATGGTTTCACGGTTTACGAAAAATAAATTTATGGTTTCACGTGTCACGACAAGTATATCATTCACGGTTCACGGATTTTAATTTATCATGATCACGGATCACGCAGAATAAAAACAGGCAATCACGTTTCACGAGAAACCCCCTTACGGCCCCTCTTCTAGGGTTTTCACTGTTCGTTATCTATACTTCAGGTAATTAAATCAGAAGCTATTCTCAAGTGAATGAATTTTAAGAAGCCTTTTGCTCCTTAGATGCAGTGGAAGGCAAGAGCCATAATGGGACGTTATGGCTCTTGGTGGAAGGTTATCCTACGTCTCAGTGCTGCGCTTATGAACGTTCTACCCATTATGTGCTTTCGTTTTCCTTCTTAGAGGTTTCTGAGTAACTGCACACCTACCCCTCCCCTAAGTCACAACTTTGCCCACAGAGAGAAGTAAGTGTTAATGCTGGCTTAGGGGAGGGGTAGGTGGTCAGCTACCCAGAAGCCTCAATTGATCCCTTAAATTAGTAAAATGAATGATATACTAGCCTGAGAGCGAGAAAGGCCTCAAAAGCTCCCCTCGGTCTGAATAAATAGGGCTAATGCATACTTGATACTTTGTTCTTGATAAAGCATTTCATATTTATCCCCCAAGATTGTTCTGATCTGCTGAAGTCAGGCTATACTCAAAATGGAGTTTACTCCATAAATCCTGATGGAAGAGGATCCTTTAATGTATATTGTGACATGCGCACTGATGGTGGAGGATGGACCGTGTTCCAGAGAAGACAAAATGGCTCGGTAGACTTCTATCGCGGCTGGAATGATTACAAATCGGGCTTTGGTCAGCTGACGGCTGAGTTCTGGTTAGGAAACGACAGAATCCACAGGTTGACGGCTGCTAGACCCAGTACTCTGCGAGTGGAGCTAGAGGACTGGAACGGAGTAAGAGTATACGCCAAATATGGCAAGTTTAAAGTTGGTGATGAGCAGGCGAAGTATCGACTTGAAGTGGGTTCATATTCAGGGACAGCAGGAGATTCGTTAGCATATCATAATAATATGGCATTTAGCACCAAAGACAGAGATAATGACAATTGGAGTAGTAACTGTGCTGTGTCATACACTGGTGCCTGGTGGTACAAGCATTGCCACCGTTCCAATTTAAATGGAAAATACCTGGGAAGAAAATTTGACAACAGAGGAGCCCGTTGGAGTGGCTTCAGAAATTCTCTTTCACTTAAATTTACTGAAATGAAACTTAGGCCGTCATCATAGAAAGAAAGCCAGTTACACTGCTGCCTCAACCTGTTTTTTCAGTGTAATTTTTCTTAAAAAAATGATGAAGTTGTCTGTGGCACAGTTGTATCGTTATAACTCATTAGATCATTATGATAGTTCCATTTTACCCACTCGTGTGCAAAAAGAGAACTTTTTCATACTCTGAGGCTTGTGGAAAGCTTTCGAGAATAATGAGTCTGCCTGAGCCGGCAAAATTTTCAGCAAAAGTTTTAAACGCAGTCTTCAAGAAATTCAATTCAATAGGGAATTGTACACGAAGATTATAGGCGGCTACATTATTTAAACAGCCCGGGACAGAGAAAAAGATGACAGATAACGAATTTAATATTTCGATTGAACTTTGCTTGAACATTTAGGTTCAAATCTTATTTTGGGGTAAATTGTAGCCGCCGTAATGTGTATCCCTTCTATTGAGTCAAAAGATTCTAATAGACCATAATGCACCTTGTTACTCCGAAAAAAATTTTGCAGTAACCGTTGTTTCCAATTGCTCCCGGGTATTACAGTCGTTCCAAGAGAAATCGAAGACAAAAAGCTACGCAAAATTTCGGGATAAACAAGGTGCTTTATGATCTTTGTGAAAATGGTGAACACTCACATTTCAATTACAACAACGGCCCGACGAACAAGGCTGGTCTGCCTGTCGTTTTGAGTTGACTGATTTGCTGCTACCTGTTTACACGTACTGAGCTAGTTCCAAGCTCTTGGACAAACAAAAACATGCTGCGGTTGTGATGATCACAATTTGGCCCCATCAAATATAAAGAAACAATTTCATGATACTAAGGACTGACGGGGAAATTTGACTGTTTTTTATGGCAAAAAGTTTTTTTAAATAATAAAAAGAAAGCAAGACTGACCGGCATGAAAAAAAAAAACAAACAAACAAAAAAAAAAACACAAAGGGGCCATTCCGGTGCTTATTTTTCACATTGTTTCACTGTAGACTCTTGAGCAACAATGAAGTAACATATTTTTTGGATAACTACAGTTAGCAGAACATTTTGTAAAATGTTTCACAAAAGTTTGTATGATTATTACCATAGTGAATGAAGGAAGTTGATGTTTGCAAATTATCAAGGAAGTTAATTGTAAAATTTAAACTATAGCTTGCCCTACTACTTCCCGCTGTGACATCACAACAACGCGGAAGGCTTATTATAATCGCAATAGCGGGTCATTATCTACAACTTACTTTATAAATAAAAAGCTCAAATAGCTAAAACCAAACTAACCCTTAAATATATCACAAACCGCCTGCATGATCGTGACTCGTGGCTATCTACTATCTCATATCCATAGACTCCTGACAATCTGTAACCAACGTACCTTCGAACCCAGACTTATTTTTGAAAGTTTTTCTTCTTTAACTACAGGTAACCCAGGCTCACTGTTTGTGTCACTGACGGGTTTCATAACATGGGTAAATATAGAGAACATATGGGGCGAGGTTTAGGTCTGGAAATTTGCTAGAAAGTGGAGATAAAAATCGATGAAACTTACCATGTGGCGAGTTGTTGTTGTCCTTACACGAAGTTTCGGGAAAAATAGTCTCCTTCACCTTTCCTTCAAGGAGACGTCTTCTCCCGAAACTTGTTTACAAATCAAGGACAACAACAACTCGCCAAATGGTTTTTTTTTCACTTTTTACAGTGTAATCATGATTTTAAGAACTTTTTAAAAGTTCTTGGTTTCCCTAATTGAATTCATACTCAAGTATTTATCCTATTTTAATACCTCACCTCTTGTTAATTCTAAAGCGAGCCTGTGCAAAACGAACTTGAAATTTATTTCCTTCATACATACAGGAAGTTTGATTAAAAAGAGCAGCAGGAAGAAGCTATCACTGAGGCACGTGTACACGATATCGAATAACGCTAGCTGAATCATTTCAATTTAAGAAACCCCCAGTACTGGGAATAACTTAATTGTGCGGATATCACCGACATGGTAACTCAAAAGCAATGTGCGCCCTCCTTTGCCACAATTCTTTCTGTTTTGTCTGTTGGGTTTTATTGTGCCGGGTTTTTAAGAGTTGAACTGGAACTAAACGAACAGAAGAAGAGAATTAATGCTCTTGAAATCGTCGCAGAGACTGAGCCTCCATCAAGTGAAGTACACCCAGACGCAATAATAACCAACATTTCTCAGCGTAAGTTTGTTTTTAATTCAGCCTAGGTTTGTTTTACTTTTGTAAAGTTGACAACTTTTTGAAAGATTCAGCAACAGTACAGTTATTTATTCTAGATAACAGCTTGTTTATTTATTTTCCTCGCATTTTCAACTAGTGGGATGTTGGTGTTGTTTTGTGCTTGTTGAGGTGACCCTCTTTCCAAAGGTCATTAGATCGCGTTCTCGAACTGATTTCTTGTGGTAATTATAAAAGCAATCCTGAAGACAATTTCAGCAGAGCAACAGTTACCTAGTCAAAGAAATCAACATTCAACTGTAATGATCATTTCCTCTTTCATTATATGTTCACACTTTACAGATACGACCCTGGTCAAAACGTCTTGGGGCACTTGAGGAAATTAGGCACAAAGACGCACTTTGCTAAATTAAGTCGTATTCTACCTCTTAAAAAGGCTTTGAGATGTTGTTATAAGGGGCTATTTCTGCTCGCCCCCTCTCCCCCAAGCAGTGTTGATTGTGTTGAATTAAAACTTGAATGCATAACGCCAACATTGCACCGAGGGGGAAGGGGGGAGGGAAGATGCCAAAATTTGACAAGCTATTGCGTTAGCGTCCCAAGAGTTTTGACCAGGGTTGTAGCTCTTTCGCCGGCCCGCGTAAAAACACACACCAGATAGGGCTTCTGTTAACACATAAGAACGGTGATCAGTTAGGGGCGATTTCCACTTGTAATGGAGCAAAGCAGCACCGCGCCGATCGCAAAAGTAGAGCGTCACCTGTCAGATAGGTGCTGTGCCACAGTCAGTGATGTAGTGTGAATCGCAGCGGAAGTGAATAAGTAGAAGCAAGGTCTGGAGTGAGGACTAGGACGATTTAATTCACTAAACCCTCTCGGCTGGTTGCTTCGGCATGATATTTATACTCAATGTCTTGTGAACGACTTGTTCTAGCCCGTTGCTGTTCATAGTATGTATACCCTATCATAGTGTGAACGTAGCTTCAATAATTAACTCACAGGTAGCCTGCGTAGCATACGTCGAAAGACTCTTTATTAAAGGAAACCAAAAATATCGTTATAAAGGTGACGTCATCAACAACGTTACCTCTTTCTCCAGCTTTTAACAAAGTAAGAAAGTCAGGCCTAGAAGCGTAGTTGACATTTTCCGCGCAAATTTACAAAATTCGCGTTAATTTTTGTTAGAGTTAATTTCCGCGCCATAAATAAACTGCAGCGTTATTTTCCGCGATCTTAGTTTCTAACCCTCAACATCTGCCCCCTAGATTTCGGTCAAGTTTAAATATATTTGTTCCTGTTGTTTTAACAACTTTCCCTTATTTTGTATGTCGCGTTAATTTTCGTTCTTTTAAAATTTTACCCCTCCTTTCGCGTCACTTTTCTTAGTTGGGAAGTATTTTTCTCTTTTATTCGCGTTCATTAAAGTCGCGTTAATTTCAAATCCTTAATGAACACAAGCATTAATTTGCTATTATAAGGTATTTGAGAGGTGTCAAATGTCCTTGATCTATAATAATTGTTTTTGACGTAATGGTAGTGAATAAGACTGTGCTCTCATCTAAAAGCTTTCTTTACAGAAAACCACTAGACAGGTATTATATGACATGAATAGTTGTCATTATCAGCTAACAATAATCAAGGAAGAAGAAAATATCATACAGAAGTCTGAAATCAACAAAATTTTTAGTGATAAGAGTCGATAAAGAGTCGGAGAAGAACAGCCAACAGCATCTTGGAAATGAATCCAATGTAATTTTGCGCAATAAATATCAACCTTGTTTCGAGGCTACTTTTTCAAATGCCTTGAACGATCGATGCTATATCTTTTATGACGTCAACTTTATAAGCAAGATTTTCGGTGTTATTTAATTTACAGCTTACAATCTAAAATCTTCGTTCAGTCTGCAGTCTTAAAATGTCATACAGCGGATGTTAACTTCCCGTCCTCATTTGTCTGTACCCTGGCAAATTCAGGATATAATGGGATTTTTAGTCTGACAGATATTCTTCAAATAGCAGTTGTCAGCGGTCAAGTGTATTTGTGCTGTTTTTGCCAAGTTTGGTCAACTCTTGAACCTTAGTATTGACTTTTCTATTATTTACTCGCCAAGGTTTCCCATAACCAAACAAAACCGAAAGAAAAGAAAGACAGACTGAGAAAAAAAAGGGAAAATGAACTTGGGATACCTGCGGCGCGATTCAAGCGGATTAATTTGGTAGGAGTCTGGACAGATCTTTTCATCAAAACGTAACTTATTCGATGAGTTGAAAGTGTTAAAAGTGTAAAGTTTTGAGACTTCTTAGCTTAGTGGGCAGCACAGCACCGATCCACCATCACTATAGCCTGCATAGCATGGCGGTTTTGTCGGGAGCACGACAGAGCGGCGAAGCCGCAAAAACACGCGCAAGCTGCTCCCTCCCCAATCTCCTCGCGGTTTCACTTCCCTCGCCCGCCTTTATTACTTTGCACGCCCAAAAAGCGCCATGCTACGCAGGCTACCATCACTATTTCCCACATGAAATAAGGCTCACTTAATAGGCTCAATCAACTTTTTGGCCCCTTGTCTTCGGTTTATTATGTTTTGTGCGTATCTTCAATATCATTAGAACAGGTGTTTTGTACCTTGATATGTGAAGGAAAGTCGATTTCCAACAATCCTCCTTCGACAACAGCTATTCGACTCTCCATAGCGACCACACCTCGATGGTAAGCGGCCACTTTAAAAAATAACCGTGTTGTTTTTCAGTCAAATACTGTTTTTGAAACTCTCTTGTAAACGACCATTACTTTTGCTTTATTGCCGGTTTTCAGTGTCACGCCATTGAAAATAGATCAAAATAAAAATCAAAACCATCCTACAGACAAAGTCCAGAATCTGGGAAATGAAAGGAGGTAAATATACAAGGACCCTCGCCAAGATTTGGGCCGAAGGAATAATTCGTATACGAGATATCCAAGGAAATGTTTTACCCAAATTTATAGAGCTTTGTAAGGAAACACCATGCTGGAGCTCATCCGGATGAGCTCAACATGGCGGACAGAAACCAACAGAAACATCTGTTACCGAGTTTTGCTACAAAAGCGTGAATTTACTCCTCGAGGAACTCGTACAAATTAAAGTAATACTTTTTCTGATACTTGAAGTGTTTAGATAGCAAAATTCCTCGAAAAAAGTCACTTTTTTAACCTAAATGACAGCTCTCTCGGCAGTCATGTAAATGCTGCGTCACGCAAAAGCTTAGAAATTCAAGCTACTCTATTACAAAACCAAGAACCTTTTTGAAGCGCAAATTTGTTTGAAAATTAGTTTTCAGCTGCTCTAATACACCATGAAAGTAAAATCTCAGTAGGATCGATAGTTTTGTAGTTTGAATTTTAGTGACGTCAAGCGACCACCCGTCATGATCACTTACGATTGTAAGAAAACCACTGCTCAAATGTCACAAAAGACCAAGCAAATGTCATAAAAGACCAAGCTGACCAAGCGAGCTGAAAGTTGACTTACAAAAATGATAGCTATAATACGATCTGAGGATTGAAATATCACATTGATGCAAAATGTTATTTACAACAAAGTTTCAGTCGTTCAAACTGTTATACTGATTTGAAATATTATTGCCAATAGTCTGTTTGCCTTTTAGCTTGTTAGGTAATAACTTTATGTAATCACGCTTATCAGTTAAGTTGGAGAGTTTTTTTTATTGATTTTTCGCGCTGACGACCACCGCCCTTAAGCGACCACTTTCTCGTGCATCAAGAGTGGTAACTTACGAGAGAGCCTGTATACGAGAAGATCGGTTGCGCGTAACGATTGTACCAAGTGTACCAGCTGCACCGCGAGTATAGAGTGTAACGGCTGTACCGAGTGTACCCGCGGTACCAAGAGTGTACCGGCTGTGCTGAGTGTACCTTGTGTACCAAGTGTACTGATCTGCCCGCTGAGTCCCTACCTCACTTGTATGTAAAAGTTTTGGATTCTTTCTGCTTGAAAAAATAATTGGCACACTGCACGTTATAGAACTTTCCAGATTTACTACGGTTCAGCTCTGTGGTGCACAGCAGCTCAAATGTTTAACATGCGTTTTCTGGGATGAAAAGAAGAGTGAAGAAGAGTGAAGAAGATTTCGTCCCATGGGAAATCAGGTTGAATGACGTCTAAGTCTGTCCACAGTAATAATGTCCTAATTCAGCTGGTTTTAAGGATAAAAGGCCATAAAATACTGGACCGGAGAACCGGATTTCTATATTTTGCATTTGCCCTTATTTACAGTCTGCTGAAGTCAACTTTTAAAATAAACAAGTTTCCCATATATTAAGGTTTTCTCCGACAAGCAGCCACACTATATACCACTCACTGTCATAATGTTCCATTTTATCCTGGATTTAGTGATGGGTTAGTGTTCTTTCGTTCATCTTTTCAGAACTTCAACCTCGTAAAATTCACCATAACAGAAACAGACGCCAGGTTAACTCAGTTAACGCCACTCTCGAAGTCAACAAACTACTATCGAAGTTAAGACCACACATTTGTCAATCAAAAGGTCGTAGGTGTTTGCCTGGTCCCCCAGGCCCTCCAGGTCCTCCTGGACCTAGAGGAGAGAAAGGAGCCCAGGGACGAAGAGGACACAGAGGGAAACCTGGAAACAAAGGAGATCAAGGCATCATGGGATCACCAGGAAAGAGGGGCAAGCGAGGCATTATGGGACCAGTTGGGTCGCCTGGTGTAGCTGGTCCTAAAGGACAAAAAGGAGACATGGGGCCCGCGGGATTGCCGGGATCTAAAGGAGAGCCTGGTGAATCAATCTCAGTTCCTACTGTTGCTGTTTCGCTTGCAAAATTGACTGCAAACGAGACCAGATCAGCGTCGTTTCAGTGTTCTGTCAATGGTAATCCTAAACCTACAGTAGTGTGGAGTAAACTTAACAGTCAAACAAAAATTAACCAATCAGCGGTTTTAGGAGACACTTTGCTCTTACAGAACTTGAAAGGAAGTGATGCAGGTGTGTATAAATGTTCAGCGGTAAACATCTTGGGGCAGGCGCACGCAGTTGGTCGCCTAATAGTGAATGGTGAGTTTTTTTTTTTCATTTTTTATTGACTATTATCTCAGTATCTTGCAGAAATTAATTCTCAGTCAACTAACGAAAAAAGCTCGGAATTATATTTTATTTTGCAGACCCTCTAATTATATTAAGCAACGTAGGTCAATACTTTTTTTAGCAAATTAAATGTATCATGACAGTATAATTTCTCGTTTGTTTCACTACCTTAGGAGGTGCTTGCTCCTTTTTTCTAACATGCTCTGAGATCAAAATTATCCCAAGCCCAAACATAAAACGAAACAAAGCGAAAGCTCATAGCGACAACCAATTGTTTTATAAATGCTAAGCTGAATGGACAGGAGCCTGCTCCTGGAAAACTAAAAAGTTACATAATTGTTAATGCACCAGGCAATGCATGCATGATTCTTGATTTTGTAGCTTGCCCACGAAAACAGCAATAAATATAATAGAATACTCTATTGATAAGATAACTTCCTGCCTTTCAATTTTATTCAGCCTAACAAAAAATGTTTTCGCGGCGTAACGATTCCAGATATAGGAATGCGTGACAAGCGCCATCATGTGATATCAGGTTTGTGTAAGAAGCGAAGACGACTCGATCGGATCAAGCGTTGTAAACAGGTACACCAGTAGCATTAATGCGTTCGGCTTTAACGGTTTCCTTTCCTAAATGATGTTCTATTGTGTCAAAAGTCACAAAATGTCTAAAATACTTGATACATTTCATGAATTATTGTGTTCTTGCGGCTTTGTATGCATTAAGACCTTCCATCGTGTATTGTAAACAGTCATAACACCCAACGAGAATATAGTTCAAAACCACTTAAATATAGCATTGTTAAACGTATTGTAGCATTTAGGCATAATTTTATTCCCTAAAAATCTATCATCTGTTCGGATTTCCTAGCTGAAAGTCTAGTGATCCGAAAATTAAAGGGATCAAAACTTACTTTTTCGATAATTTCAGCGAGAAAAAAAGGTTTTCGAAAATTCTAGGTGACCTTTTTAGGGTATTGAATCCGTTAAAAATGGGCAATTATACCATTTGTTAGATGTTCGAAAATCCTAGGAGAGGCAGGCAACAAGAATTTTACAACAAATGTTCCGAAAATTCTAGATCTGAAATCGTCTTCCGAACAGATATTTTCCAAAAATTGACGTTGGGTGCCCCTTATAACAGGAAATAGGCATATTTCGTCGATCGGCTGTGCTGATAAATCGTTAAAATCACAATATATTTTTATGTTTCTATGTTTTTGGACATTCCCTTTGTTGGTCTAAAAAAACGTTTTCAGTTAGAAGATGTGGGAATTTTGTAGCCTGCGAGCAAGCTCTCCTATTTGGGCAAGCGAAGCGAGCCTCGGCCCCTCGCGGCTTCGCCGCTCGCTCGCGCGTTCTCGCGCGGCTCGCTTCGCTCGTTCAGATAGGAGAGGTTGCTCGCAGGCTAGGAATTTTGCACAGTGCTCGAATGAAAATATGCCTTTTTGAGCCCTTTCCCGCCTACGGCAAAGTGGGGGTAAATCAAAAAATACTTAGTAGACATGAGTTGCTTTTGAGAGACCAAAATTGTGTGCTTTACATCATTTAAGGGCCAATTTAATCCTAGGAAGTGAAAAAAATCGTTGAAAGTGTAAAACTTTGAAGTGGTGAACTCGGCAATATGCGCTATTTTTACTCTTTGTCACTGCCAAAATTTGGCCGCCGGGCGCTGAAGTGATTTTCTTCCCGAAAACTTTTATTTTGAAATATTTTCAAAAACTAATGCGGTTTTCAATTACTTTTGGACTAAGATATATTAATGAGCAAAGTTTAAAGGAAATTGTTTTTCCGACCCGAAACGCAGTGGACCGGTTTTAGGGAAACTCCCTCTTAAACAGCCTCAGGATCAATAGTTCGTTTTGAAGAAATCTTTGTTGATGTTTCAGTTAGCATTAGCACGTAACAAAAACTGACCGCGGCGGGAAATGACGTCACTCACTATTCTTACGAGAAACACGTGTTTATGCCAAATCATTGATGCTAACCTGTATTTAATTGTGAATTATGCACTCGAACCTCCACTAATGTCCTCCCCTCTACAACGGCCACTTTCTTGTCCTGGCGGACAGTTCATACAACGGCTAATTTGTTCAAACCTCTCTACAACCGCAACGGCCACTACAGCGCGTATCCTACTGCCAAAATAATCTTGTAACAACGGCCAGCTTTTTCGTCAGTGACAAAAAGTCAAGAATGGCCACGAAATCTGTTCCCTATGGCGAGTAGATTTTCAATCTCGGCAAGTCTTGCAATTCAGTTAAAATGTAAGTACAATACTTTTTTGCGCGAACGTTTTGCAGAACATACCTCAGGCAGAGAGTCAGTTAAGAACGTTTTCATTTTTTTGTGTTCATTTGTTTAGTACAGTTAAGCTTTACTTCGGTTATTTTACAGATATTTGACCATTTATTTAACGCTAGTGCAAGGAATCGAAGAAAACTGTTACTTTCGCCATAGATATTCACGTATAACTGTGGTAATTGGAAGATCATTAATCACGCCATACCTTCTAAAGACAAAAAAAAGACCAGCTTATACCAAAAACCTGACAGTTGTAGCCAACGAACTCAATCAGTTTTTCTCCAAGGTTGTGAAAAATTCCGCTGACGCATCTCGGCATCTGTCAGAAGAAAATAACATTACAATTCGAGAACTTTCAACCGATGCGAATACTAGCTCCACCCCAGATGAGCTATTCAATTTAAGGACAGTGACATGTGAGGAGGTTCGTCGAGTTTTAGCATCTCTACCACTGAATAAATCACCTGGACCTGAAAAAGTTAGTGCTCGCATACAAAAAGGACTGCTTGCCTGTCATACTCGGCCCTTTGACTGAGATTATTAATTGCTCTATACTTACCAGTACATTTCCTGCTAAATGGAAACAGGCCGAGGTAATACCCATTGTCAAAGACGGCGATCATGAAGAAGCAGCCAATAACAGACAATTATCTCTTCTAGCTGTTGCATCCAAAGTATTTGAGAAGATTATTTTGAATCAATTCAACGCCTTAAGTCCCACCAAAGACGTAATAAAAAAGCGCACTCTACAGAGACCTTAAATATCCAGCTCACGGATAGTGTACTTGAAACAATAGACAAAAAGCAGATCACCACTGTAGTATTACTAGACCTCTCGAAAGCTTTCGACAGCATTGACCACGCAAGACTGCTTCACAAACTCTCTAACGTTGGAGCCTCGCCCTCGACTGTCAACTGGTTCAAGAGCTACTTATCTAGTCGCTACCAATACTTGAGAATTGGTTCCACCCACTCGGACACTCTGCCAATTACCCATGGCGTTCCTCAAGGAGCGATTTTAACACTCCTGCTATTCTGTATTTAATGGTCTACCCTTAGCACCTAGCTCTTCTAACCTAGAATCATACGTTGATGATTCGAAGTTATTCCTATCTTTTCCGATGATAGAACTGGATGCAGCTATTGATAAGCTGGAACAAGATCTTCTCAGCGTAGCCCAGTGGTGCTGTGAGAGTCACTTACTCATAAACCCTGATAAAACCAAGCTCCTCCTCCTTGGAACCAGACAGATGTTAAACAGACTACCGCAGAACCTCAGCATGTCACTTCTCGGCGCGACATTAAAACCTGTCGCCTCAGCCAAGGACTTGGGAGTCATTCTAGATCCTCAATCGACTTACGACCATCATATTTCAAAGACAGTCTCCTCCTGCTTTTCAAAGCTATATCAAATAAATAGAGTTAAAGAAAGCGTTGACAAAGAGACACTTAAGCTGTTAATTTCATCATTAGTTTTTAGCAAAATGCTTTATTGTTCAACTGTCTGGTCTAATACTTCAACTCAGAACATAAACAAATTACAGCCAATTCGGAACTTTGCGAGCAAAATTGTAACGAATTCTAGGAAATTTGACCACGTGATCCCTTTTCTCCGCCAGCTTAACTGGCTTCCTTTCAAACAATTATTGTATTATAGGGACTCTGTTTTAACTTACAAATGTTTCAAGAGCCTCGCACCTAAACATCTGGTAGATAAACTTACTAAACGCTCCAGCATCCATGCTCGCCACACCCGCAAGCGTGATTTATTTTAACAATTATTCCTCGAGCCGGAATTGGCTCTGAGTCAATAGCCCATGAGCCCGAAGGCCGAATGGAATATTGACTCAGAGGCCGTGAGGGCGTGAGGAATAATAGGCCATTTCCGAGTTCCACAAAGTCTCACTCTCAAAACGAGGCTAAATGCGAAACCTTTGTTGTGAAAATGAGTCTTATTTGCATCATAATTAAAGATCATTTTCACATCAATGGCTTCGCACTTAGCCTCGCTTTGAAAGTGAGATTTTTTGGAACTCGGAAATGGCCTATTGTTTTAGTAAAATCCAACCAGTTGGTCAAAAAAATCGAGAACAAAACAACTTTTAGCTAGTTAAAGCTAGACTTTAATCCTTTTTTGCCGCCAAAAAGCCCGCGCTTTTCGCTACTAGTGGGCTATAACATATAGCGTAGTAGTAGCTCAACCAATCAGAATGCAGCATTGATAATAGACCATTAGTTGGATTTTACTAAATACATATACCATTGTATAGAACTGCTTCTGGCCAACGCACTTTCGCATATAAAGGACCTAGTATTTGGAACAATTTAGATAATGACATAAAGCAATGCGTTTCCATGCAGTCTTTCAAGCAAGCTATAAAAGGGCAACTTTTAGAGCAAGTCTTTTCATTGGTGTCTTTTTTTTAAAATTACGAATTCTTATTTTCTTATATTTATTATTTATAACTTAAGCAGTTTAGTATTTAATGTATTCATGTCATCGTAAATAGTGTCTAAAAAACCTTTTGAGAATGATTCTATTGAAGTCCTTTTCTATTCTAATCACGTGAAATTCGTTTTGCAGTTCGTCCTTCCATATCTCTTAATCCGGGACCAGTTTACGTCGTTGAAGGAAGTAATGCAACTCTACCAGTTTGTCACGTGACTGGCTATCCTACGCCACTGGTCACATGGAGTAAGTCATTTGGTCAGCTACCCCAGGGGAGGGTACACAGAAACAATAGCGTCATGAAACTGTTCGGAGTTCGTAAGGTTGATTCTGATAACTACCTCTGCACTGCAACTAACTTGTTAGGAAGTGTGGTCAAACGAACTGTTTTAGTTGTGATCTCCCTTCCTCAGTTTACTGTAAAGCCACCGTCAAAGGTTACTGTGTTGATTGGCGAAACGTTAACTTTGAACTGCAGCGCTACTGGCGATCCTGAACCAGCCATGAACTGGAAGAAACAAGAAGCACAACTTCCAGTTGGTCGGAGCCAGCAGATTAACGGTGGGTTATTTATCAGGAACATTAAAAAGGAAGATGCTGGGAATTACATTTGTGCTGCAACGATTGCAGGGGTATTTGACGTAGAAACTGTCACCACTATTGATGTTCTGCCTTCTAAACAAGGTAAACAAGGAATCCGTTTATTACGAGAGAGGATGAATCCTAAGAGGAGGGTGTGTTGGCCAG